AAAATCAAACAAAAGATTCATCTCATCACACACATTATTATATATGGATGTTTTGCAACATCAATCAGTAGCCAAGAAATAACCCTAAAACTAATCTAAGAAAATAAACTTTAGTTATGGAGAATGGGAAAATCAAAATCTTAGAATAAAAGAATCTTTCGTTTCGTTCGTTTCGTTTTTTTCTGCATTCTATCATTGAATTATTCAGCTTTTTCAGTGTATTTTGCAGCAGTAAAAGTTTTTTTTTCACCAACAATTTTCGTTTTTGAATAAAATTGCTTGTTGCTGACTACGGTATTCAGCATTTGACAAATTTCACACCAAAACAAAACAAAACAAAACAAAATTTTCATCAATAATTCCACTCTTAACACAGGAATAAATTACCAGAGAATTTTATTCATCTAACCAACCAACCAACCAATATTTGAATTGATTAATTTCAATGATAATTTACAGCAACAAATAAATTGATGATATGACTTTTTTCTGTTTCTCATTCATATTGAAATTTCCAGAAATTTAATGAAAATTTTCTCTAAAACGTTTTTTGTTTTCCTGTTTTTGCCATTTTGTTGCCATTGTTTTTTGTCTATCATCTTAATGTTTCAATCGAACGAATAAAGTTTCAATGGATCATAAATAATCAATGAATTTTTTCCTGGTAGAATCAGCAAAAAAAAAAGTTACATCAACATTATCAATATATTTCTGGCATTGTCCGGAGAAGAAATAATAATAATTCCATTTACTAAATACTATATGCAAATGAAAATGATAATGAAATGAAATGATAACAACAATGTGTCTATAGATACTATTATTAAGAAAGAAAATAAAAGTTAACAATGAAATTATGTATGCATTGCGAATTGGATATTCTTTTGTTTCACTTTTTTTTCACGAAAATTGAATGCGTAAAGAAAAATGCATCAGAAACAAAAATCTAATGTAAAACAGAATTTTGTTTATTTATTCCAAAAAAGGAATCTCTCTCTCTCTCTCTCTCTCTCTCTCTCTCTCTCTTTC